CCCTTCCCCCCACCTTGCCCACCAAACGGAAACAATGCATCCAAACAAAGTTATCGCCAACATTTTTCAAATACGACAACCTTCAAATTACACACAATACCACAAAAAATATGTGCTCACGCATGTACCTATCCTACGATCTGAGAATGCACACCATAGCCTACAAACCACCGCAACATTGAACAAACTAAACTTTGAAACGTCGCATCCAAACAAAGGCATCACCAACATTTTTTCCATACGACAACCACCAAATTGCACACAATACCGCCAAAAACATGTGCTCACATATGTCCCTGTCCTACGATCCATAAACACACGCTATATCCTGCAAACCACTGCAACATAGGACAAACTAAATAACATGACAACATAAGACCCCTCATACCGCCGACGACTCCATTTTTTTTTTTTAAATGTGGCCACAACACATGATCTAGACAGATTACTCACATACACCACCTCCTATCCAAACATCGTTACATACAGATGCACCTTCAAAAAAAACATATGCTACCATACCCATGATTATAATGGATACATCACCCACCACCCCAAATCTACCCTACGCATCACTCCCTCCTTCTGTTTTGCGAAATACACAGTCAACTTTTTGCATCAATGCTGCTGGGTTATCCCGCACTTCCTCTATGCATCATCTTTACCTCAAATTGATCTTTATATACCCACTTGCACCTACATTTCTACAACGCTTCCTGCTATGCACAATCATGCTTCAGGCTGCTCTGGTATTCTACGCTCTCACCGAATCCCTTCTCGCACTCTACGGAGCACGTAACGCTCTCCCATCAGCACGGTCCTGCCCAATTGTTGTGCCAGACACATTCCTGACTTCGCATTGCGATCCTAACCACGCATGACGTTCGAAGTTTGTCCTACGACGCCATTGGAGTGACTGTTTTGGATGTGGGCGGTGTTGTAGTCCTTCAAATAGGTCGCATGCGTGCTAATTGTGCCTTGGTGAAGTCCTTGGAGCTTCCCGATCGTACCCCTCTGTTGGGAGTACAGGTCTTGTTCTCAAGCATCGTGTGGGGTCTGGATCGATGTTTTTCATCGACAGTTGTGTTCACCGCAGATCTTACCAGTCGGAGCATGGTGACCTCATCAGTAACGTCCTTTCTTGTGTTCCCCTCCTCCTCCCCTCCTTCTCTCCTCCTCCTTCCCTCCTCCTCCCCTTCTCTCTCCCCTCTCTCCCTGGTCCCAGTCTCTTTGAGGATATGTCCTCGATGGTCCCTTTCGGAGCGCTATGGGGGAAGCTTTTGTTCTTTGATAAGCCGGCATAGTGGAAGCCGGCGAAAAGTACTTTAGGGCCTGTTCCACTACCCACCTTCCATGCGCCGATATTTTAGTGTCGCTTGGTCGAATTGGGACACTTGTCTTTTTCTTTCCTTTTTTTCCCCATTAATTAACGAAATTATGTTTGTCGTATCGCATTGCTTGTGATGGGATCTGTGTGGATGAGCCGTGGTGTTATGTCTGTTTGTCCGGGAATGTGCGGTTTTTGGTAAAGGAACTCGTGGAGTTCTTTGCAGGATTGAATCCCTTTTATCTCTGAAGTTTTGCATCATGGATGAATTGGGCATAGCATACTGCGCCGTTGTCACACTGATCGTGCTCTTCGCTTTCCTGTCATTCCTAACCTTCTTGGATAGCCGAGAGGCCTTGTTGTGTATCAGTCGTGGCCTGCTCGTAAATGCATCATCGTCAGGTGTCCATCCTCGATTTTGCAAGGCATGACCGCATGGGAGTCTGCATGTTCGCCTTTTTGGTTAACGCAATATGATGAAGGGTTTTTGCCTGATGAATGGGGGTTGGAACGAGAAGGAGGAGCCATAGGGAGTTATGTTGCTTATTACAGAGTAAGGGTTCCCCACCAAGACGAGGTTTGTATGAGTGTTTCGCGATTGAACGGATGGCCGCGCCATTTGTTGCATCCGAGGTGTGGTGGGAACTACGAGGGGAGGTGGAGGTCTATCGCGGTCCACTACTCGACCGCTTTCAACTTTTTGTAGTATGGTGCATAGCTGGTTTAGTTTTTGTTAGCCCGAGCATTTCGTGCCTTTTCTTTTCATGGAGGATTATGGGTATTGTCGGCACGTTGAGTAGGGATATGCAGTCAGCATGTCTGGTTTCTCCAGGGGATGCCTTGCAGCAATGGGCATTTGCCTTGTTTTCGTCATCCATCATCATGACGGCCACGCTTCTAGGCGGTTTGATTTTCTTGTATTTGCTGGTTCATAGCAGGGTCCTTGTTGATTACCCTCGTACCGCTTCCTGGAGATGCGGAGTTTCACTTTCGAGGCTGTTATAACATGGTGGGGGGGGTGTGTTGCGGATGTGATCGTGATTCTTCAAAGGATTGTTTGTTACCAAGGACTCTATTTGGAACATGGGGTTTTGAGTGAATCCGAGTTCATATGTGTTTTTCTTGATCTCATCGGAGGTGTACCCTATTGTCTTCACGTTTTTTTTGTGTAATTTTTCCTCTCTTTTATCCCATGTGTGCGGCAGTCTCGTGTAATCCCTTCTTCTGCGTGCTCTCTGTCCCCCCCCCCTCCCCCTCCTTGATCTTAAATGTCATTCGGTGAATGCACTCCATGGTTGAGCCTCTGCCCCCGTTGCTCGAACGATTCATGCGCATAGCTTCCTCATGAACCAATCCCTTCCATTCCAATTGTGTGTGATCGGGCTGGTTCTTCGATGTAATCCGGAAATTGCTTACCTAGGGTCGGTTTTATTGCATGCCATTCTGACACAACATGCTACGACGTTGTCACAGAGGTTTGACGCATAACACATGAAACACACACACACACACACACACACACACACACACACACACACACACACACACACACACACACACA